TCATAAATGTTTTTTTATTAGAGATGAATAGTCAGAGAATCATAAAATATTTATTAAGAAAAATTGGCTCAGACATTAAATAAATAACAGTTAAATCAATTTTTGAAATTGTTCATACCTTAATTGAAAATTAAAGGTAGTTAATAAACAGTCAAAAATAACGAAAATTACTTGAAACAAAATGTGTTGAGCAAATATATTAAAAATATCTGTAGCATATATCATAGTTTGCAAAGAATAAAAGAAAAGAGTAAAATAGACTAGTAATTAGGAAAAAGAGGTGCATAATAGCAGAACTAACAAAAGAGCTAATGATTAGCTCCTAAACTCTGCACTGAATTCATCAATGGCATCAAAAAACGATGAAACCGTTACTTAATTCTTCCAAAGAAACCATCGATTGAATTCCATATTTATCGATCAAATGACCGCTAGCTCAACGGTTTCATCATTTTTGGTGTCGATGGGTCCGCTGGATGTAATCTCAGTGTTATTTCTCAATTTACTATAAATAAAAATTGATAAAAAAATAAAAATATTTTTTTCACTATTTCAGTCTTTTTATGACCGCCACCTCGGACCATCTCCTTACTTTATATTTATTTCAATTTTGAAATTTGACAATTAAATAGGTAGGTATTGTGTATACTTCTATTTTTCATATTTCCAGGAATGCGTGTCTCTGTACACCAGCGCTGGATTCAATCGACTGATGGATTCTGTCGATGGGATATGTTTAGGATATGTCTATATGGAATAATGGAAAATATGTCTAGTTTAGGATTTTGCTAAAAGTAGAATAAAAAAAAAATAAAAATAAAGGAACGCTATTGATTCGCTGTCAGCAAAGACTAGATTAATAATTCCTTCATTTTACTAAATATTATAATTCTGGTAGTAATAATAATCGAAAGCTAAATTGAATCGAAAGCTACATGAAATGGTTGGTAGACATTTGTATTTTAACTTTTCCTCTCAGGTTATGCAAGATTTAGGCTCAACGTTAAATAATATTGATATATAATAATATTCATCAGTTACCCTGGATTGGGGTTGTGGAGATCGAAGTTGAGGAACTCTATCTTGATGATCTCGTGGTGGCCAGCGATGAAGGTGTAGAGAACGCAGCGGAGTCTGTCCGGGTATGGACGTGGCCAATCCGGGCTCTTGAACCGGCCGAACTCCTTCCCGAACGTTCCGGAGTACACCAAACATTCGCAACCTACAACAAATCAAACCAAATACTTCGTTATATTAGATTTAATTAAACACATTATTACAATATATATATATTTTCTAAAATAATTATAAGTTTTGTCTTTTTCATGTTATGTTTTAATGCTGAAGAAATATTGATAGTTGACTGTTAATAATATTCTTGGAAAGTTATTTGGGGGTCACAGCTGCAGTGGAAAAAAAATTTAGTGTCGACGTTTCGGACCGACACACACCCAGAACATGAGGAGGAGACTAAAAAGGCGTTGGATGAGAGATCTCCTTCCTTAAACAACCTGAGTAATTGAAACAAGTTAGAGAAGAGATGCTGCTGAATACTTTCCTTTCCCATGCCTGCCATATCATTATTTCATGTATCTCCAGCATACTTGTTAATAGTCAACAAAAAGTTGACAGGCGCAAATACATTTTTATAGGGAAAAAGAATGATTTGTATTATTATATTTTAGTAATACATCTTTTTTCTTGCATTTATGCTAATCAGTTGTTCAATATAATCTTCCTTAGCTGCGTTAGTAGAACCTTCTCTTTCCTTCAGTATGTATTTAGATGGCTTCGTGAGATGTCTATAGCAATATTTTTTTTTCTTTCTAACTCCACAAAAGTGATCTTGTTTTTTCTTCCCTGATGATGCCTGAATTGGCAAGTGACTGTTTATCTCTATGTTGGAGACTCATGGCTTTGAAGTTTGGATTTTTCTATTTATAACATTTAAATATTTTTTTCATACCTTTTAGATCCATAATTTTAACAGCGACATATGCAGGCGTCACAGCAATTTTAGCAAGATACAAAAATCCAACTTACGCCTCACAGACCCTACAACAGTATTTAACCAGATTACGTGACTGTTTCAAAATTTGGAAAATCCGACTAAATAAAAACAAACCTTGACAATACAAAGGTTCCACAGACAGACACCGTTCACTACCTTGGTTTGAAATTTAACCGAAAAATTACGTGGAGCCCACATATAATTAAGAAATGAAAAACGCTAAATCAAAGGTTCAAAATTCTGAATTCCCTTCTTTCGAAACATTCAAAACTAAAACTTAGACACATACAATTACTTACTTGAACCTATTTGGACTTACGCATCACAGATATTTGGAACAGCTAAAAAGACTCACATAAACCAACTTTAAATCATTCAAGCAAAAACATTCAGGACAATTACAACAGCACCTTGGTACGTAAGCAATATAACCTTACATACTGACCTTCATATGCCGAATGTTAACGAATACATACAAACTCATTACAAACGATTTCACCACAACTTACAGGGACATCCTAATACACTCATAAATTACATGGCCACAAGGGATATGCCAGCTCTGTAGGAGACTGAAGAGGAGCTGGATGAGGGACCTCCTCGCTTGATGTAGATATCACGCCGAGAGAGGTGCCGCTGGGCATTGATCCTCGTAATGCCTTTCATGACATTATATTTTTCAATCTATCTCACATATATTGGTTGCCATTACCATTATGACAGGTGTGAATAAAAAATTAAAGTTAAAATATATATATATATATATATATATATATATATATATTAAGGGGACCCTACACGGTAATTCATGAATGAACGTCACAAGAAGTGCCAAGATTGCCCGCGATCGCTTTGATCATGAAGACCCTTACACGTTCAATCATTACTGATCATTACTTATCGTTGCTGATACCAATTTAGCTCAGTTGTAAACAAAGAAACAGCATAGATATGCTTATTTGGACATTGTCATTTATAATATTGGGCATCAAGAGAAAAACGGAGATATAATAATTACTTCCTAGTGCCTGAAAATCGTTTAGACCAAAGTTAGAAAAATATAAGTCAACTACATACAAAAATCTAGGAAAAGTATTGCGAAAATAATCAATTTGTTAAGAAAAATGGAAAAATTAATGGCAAATAAACACAACAGTTAAAGATTTTTTTTCTACAAGTAAATTGTGAAGTTTCCACTTTTTTTTTTCTCTCCAATTTATTGCCTACTTGACTATTTAAAGAAAAAATAGTTGAAAATGGTTAATAACAATATAGACTTGGGATATAAACAACTATTTATTTTTATGAAATTATTTACTTAATAACGAGACCTAGGTAAACTAACCTATTTAGTAGTAAGGTTAGTCTCATAGAAAATCGTTTTGACAAAAGTTAGTAAAATATAAGTCAACTACTTACAAAAATTAAGGAAAGTTAATGCGAAAATAATAAATTTGTTGAGGAAAATGGAAAAAGAACTGATAAATATACACAACGTTAAAGTTTTTTTTTTCTAAAGTAAATTGTGAAGTTTCCTCATTTTTTTTTTTAATTTGTTGCCCACTTGACTATTTAAAAGAAATAGTTGAAGATGGTTTAAAATTATAAACAAGGGATATGAAAAATTATTTAACTATTTACATATAATGAAAATCAGAAATTTATAATGGTTGTGAGGCCTAGGTAACCTAACCTATCCAGCAGTATGGTTAGTCTCCCCACTACTTTTTACTCAGTCCCCCCTCCACTTCTCGTGAATGAACCTTTGATTTCCGGATGTTCGGAAATCCGCAGCGCACCACCATCAGTACTTCATTCACTACCTTACACGACAATTCGGAACGTCATTAGTGCAATTCCGATTGACCGTGTAGGGTCCCCTTTATCTATTTAGGAAAATCCTTGAGGTTCTTACATTGTTATACCGTTAAAAAAATCCTGATGGTGATACGTTGAGTGTGTAACCAAATTATAAATATAAATAAACTATTTACAATGGGAGGATGAAATAATTTCCGGAAAGTAAAAAAAATTTAAATTTAGAGTTTATAAAGAATCATTATTTAAACTATTCCATTTCTTACGTGCTTTCAAATTGTATGTATAATTTCTAATAGGAGTTTATTATCGAGAGTTATCCCTACACATTTTGCTGACTTGACAAAAAGAACAGAGGTGTCAGAGTTTGCTATTGAAGGGGTATATCGAGGAATAGTTTTAGTCAGCATGTAACTTACAAAGGAAGGATACTAACTTCGTGAAACTCCTTCAGACTTGCCCTAGAGGAGTTCAGGAATCGTTGATTTAGTAATCTCAAGCTAAAACTTTTTGAAAAGCTTCTTCATATCAAGTACTGTAACTGGAAATATTGTATAATATATGTATTGTACATAATATATGTATTGTACATAATATATGTATTGTACATAATATATGTATTGTACATAATACATGTATTGTATTGAAATATTTCACAATAAATATATGTAGAATTTTGCAATAATGTACTATTACCCAACCTTCGAAGCATTGTTCTGATGTCCCACAGGAATTCTTTTATGTTTAAAGAATAACTGATATTCATAAACCAACCATCCACGTCCGGGAAATCAAAGCTTTTCTCGTCTACGTTGCAAAAAAGATTCACGTGGAATATTCAATTGCAAGGGAATAAGGTAGGTTATGAAATTGTTAAAATAATTCATGAGGACATTCGCATTCTTGGCTCTGGGTCCCTTCGCAGATATGGAAGCCCTCGTGCACATGCAATAAAGTGCCCACTCAATAGTATAAATTTCTTCTCAATCTACGTTCACGTATAATAATAATAATATTAAGTTCATATATATTTTGGTTAAAAACAATTTGTTTATTATTTGTTGAATATACTGGGAAAAAATATGCAAGAAGGATTGTTTAAATGAAACCAGTTTTTTTATTTTTCTACAAGGAGTTCAAGGTATACTACTAAATACGTAAGATCTACAGATACAAATAATATTTTTATTTACATCTTTATTATTATCCATTTACTGTTCCCACATTTCCATCTTCCCTTCTTCGGTTCCTGATCCGCATCTCCTCGCCCAGAGCTAACAACTTCATTAACCTCCAATTATCCAGAGCTGGCGACCCTGCTAACCTCAACCTCCCAGAACTGAAAGCCTTTCCGCAAACGAACTCTTTGGACAGTCTAAGCAACAGCTGTTTGTTATTCAGAGGACGGCAGTTGTATTGGGTTCTTGAACTGCCCGAAAATACCGAGAACCTCTCATGAAGGGAGAGGTTGGTAGCAGTGATCGGAGGATCCATTTTCCACTTCTTCGGTATACTTCCGCAATACCTCCCCATCCTTCCGGTCGCACCTCTTCCGAATATCTTCCTCCCTTCGAACATTTCTTAACGTAGACGAACAAGAATAAAATAATCAAAGCAGAAATGGATCACGTTGACCATCTGACATGGAATGTTCGTTCAAGAACATATGATGAAAATTATCATTTACCAAAATAAACTATAAGCAAATGCTGTTATCTAAGATCCTGATATGAGCACCTATGTTACTTATAAATAGTGCTATAATTCCTAACGCTTAGTATAACCAAACTATTTTATTAACCTTATATATTAATGACCATATGTGGATAATTTTCAAAATAAATGTACCAACTGGTTATTTAATAATAGGTTATCGCGCCAAAATTTAATATGAAAAATTAAACTCCTATCTACTCTAGCACCACTCTAGACGTCGATTTTAAGTATTATTCATGAATATTTACATTTCCTGATTAGCACGATATAAATACAAGCTTATTTTTACTTACTGCGTGACGTTCAAGAATAGTAGAGGTTATGGAATGTTACATAGTTCTCTTACAAATTTATATTTATGGGTGTATATATACACGGATATACATGAAGCTATGGTCATTAATCATTAATTTGAAAATTGTATAATATAATAGTCCGTGGTACAGACCCCTTTTTTCAAATTATTAACATCCGCCTGAAACTGAACAAATATTTTATTTACGAAATTCTCGGAATAGGGTCGTTTTCAATCTGAAGGGGAGCAAATTTCGTCTATTTAATTAGGCATTAAAATTCGTAAATACACATTTGTTTTCCACCTGAATCGTAAGATAATTTGAGGACGAAACCGAGAAAAATGATGACCTTCAAAAATGTTGAGCCGTTTGGCGAGACCTACACCCCCAAATCCTCAAAATAACGAGGTTATAAAGGACAAACGGACCAATATTTTTGTAGGCCATCTTTTTTATCAATTTTGTAATCCAATCATCTTATAATCAAAGTGGCGAAGAAATAGATATTTACGAGTTTTTAGTACCTAATTAAATAGACAAAGTTTGTTCCCCTTCAGATTGAAACCACAACAATTCCAATAATTTTCTTGAATAAAATAGTTGTAGGTTACGATGAGATGAAGCTATTCTAGAAGTTTCAGGTGGATGTTGATAATTTGATAAAAAGGGGTCTGCACCACGGACTGTAAGGAATCACATACTATAATAATAATAAATCTTATTCAAACATGTGAATACTGCCAGAATTATGAAGAGCTTTCTCAATCTTCAATAGAAATGAAATTAGAACACACCTAAGGTGGTTGGAGTTGATCGTCCTTCTCTCTAAGGAAACAAAAACTTTTTTAAATTGTTATCCATCCAACATCCACCTGAAACTTCTAGAATAGCTTCATCTCATCGTAACCTACAACTATTTTATTCAAGAAAATTATTGGCTTAGCTAAACCGGAGGGTGGGGAGGGGTAGCTCAGTGGAAGAGCAATGATCTTCCAATGCTCAAGATCTTAGGTTCGAATCTCGGCTTTGTTTTTCTTCTGCTTTTAAACAACCAGAAAACAGCTCGAGAAATACCAAATGTTGATTCTTAATGATTCGTTATAATTCTATAATGTTATGTAATACAATAAAAATAAATTTAGGCTGTTTTTGTGTTCTTTGAATTTACAACTGCCGATCCCATGCACTGTCACAACTATCATTGGGGTGGGGTTGCTTGTGACATTTTCTTTTTTTTTCTAATTTAATCCTATGAGATAACTACTGTACTTAAAGACAAAATTTTATTATTTATAAGATCAAGTGTACACTTTACTATAAAAAATATCCTTCTTCTATATAATTGGTATACAAACAAAATTGAGGAGGATTAAATGAAAATTCTCATAACCGTACGCAGACTTCCTTACAGATTTCTTTAGTGTAAAACTAATTCGCAGATGGTAAATTTCAAGTCTGCCGAATTCATATATTGTTTAAATTCGTATACTAAGTAAGTGTTGCAAGTATTTAATTCCGTTAGTAGGGCAGTGATGTGCTATGGAGCACAAATTTAGGGTGGGGTAAGTTATGAAGCCGTGGAAAGACTACTAAGATTATTTCTAAAAAAAAAATTTTAATTACCAGAGTATACTCCAACACATTTTATTCACTTTGAGACTAAAATAAATCCGTTTTTTATCTTCACAATTAAACTCCGTTTTGATTATATTATAAATATTTTGAATCTTCCACCACATAGATATCCAAATCCAATAAAAATATATCAAAATATCCAAAAATACTAGCTCTATAGATAATTAAAAAAGAAATCGCATGGTTTAGGGACTTACTTAATCTGATAGAATCTGCATGGTTTAAATCGGTCTAACTGTGATGATTTTAAACTATAGAGAGCTAATTTATATTTACTAAGAACTCAAATTCAGAATGGCATATATAATGAATATGTAATTAAAGTCCGTAATTCTAAAACTTTCACTTTTTATCCTCATTTAACTTAATTAAATTATATTGATGATAAAAGCTCATTGAGGGTGATCAGATGAGTAATTAAAATTGGAGCTGATATTTTGAACTTAAATTATAAACACTTCCAGCAAACAAAGAATAATTGTAGCTTGTGTAATACAAGCGAAACAGAAGATCTCTATCACTTCCTGGCTGCTTGTCCTATACTCTCTGAATTTAGAATTAGATGGTTAAAGTCTAGAAATTTATCTCGGGATCAAGTAATTGATTTATTAGATGGAAACAATTGGATAGCATTGGTAAATTACTGCAAGTCTGCTTTGTAATGTAGAATAATGCTCACCAGAGAATTTAACAATTGATAAATTGGAGAATTTGGGTACCACTGTCTTTGTAATTAGAATATTTGTATAACTTTTACATTGTAAATATAATTGTTCTTATTTTCCTATTAATTAGTTTTATATAAATAGATTGAAATATAATTTTGTTATGAAAAACCGACTCCTCTGACGGTCAACAGACCATGTAGCAGGTCTGATTTTCGGTTTTAAATTAAAAAATATTATTTTGTAATTTATATTTTGTAATTTTAATAAATAAAAAGACTTTTTCTTCTTCTTCTCTGTTATACTAAGATAAAATTGATATCATTTACCGAGTTAACAAGACAAGTAATTTCAATTGCTTGATATATTTAAGCGATAGAGACTAAGAAATTGGTTCAAACCAGGACGTTGAAGCAATACCTCAACGACGACCGCAAGGAGTTAGAAGCGGCAATACTAATACCAATATTAAGCTATTGGATGATAATTAGGCGGGAAGCAGGAGCAATTGGAGGGGGATCAAAGGCCAAAGGTAAACCATGTTCCCTTCCTCCAATTACCCTTCTCTGCTCCTTATACTGCCTTTGAGGACGCCTTTGTCCTTAATTACTGCCAATATTTATCAGCACTATCTGTCAAGGGCTGTTTGTTGTCTGCTGTCGTGGCTTGCCAAGCTCTACGTATCCATCTCCCTCTATCTTCCGCCTTATCAATCAGCTAGCTCACCTAATTTATCAATGAACTGATCCTCATATAGAGAGTTTTTAATATTAAAAAAACGCTGCAAATTATTTCACAATGGTTTATTATTTCCAAACAATTATACATTTAAAGTAACATTACCTTGCGAGTTAAAAAGAAAAAAAAAACAAAAGGTGGTTCCAATTATTGGACTAAACTGTTTTTCTTTAATCATTAGTAATATGCTAAAAAAAATAGCATTAGTTCAGTAACACATTCAAAATTTAAAAACCAAACCAAGGATATAACATTTGGAGTAGAACATATAAAAAAAACCGGAGGCCATATCTTTGCTCCTAATTGTCCGATTTTGACGATTTGTTTTTTTGTTTTTTATGGAATTTTGTAAATTTTTAAAAAACCATAATACAATATCAACAAAAAGTGTAAAATTTTTGAGTTATTCGGAATTTAATTTTCCCATCCCTCGAAACTTTTTTTCCAGCTACTTTTTGTTGAATTATGTTATATAGATAAATTTAAAGGGCGTCGAGGAAATTACTTTCGCGAAGTTTCATTGAAATCTGTACATTCGTTTAGGAGCTACAATCTTTAGCAACGCAGGTTTTTCGGCCGCCATTTTAAAAGTTAAAGGCGGAGAGTAATGTCGATGAAGGACGATAATTCTCGGGTGACCTCTGATTTTATATCAAAATTTAAAAAAAATAGGTCCAGTAGTTTCGGAGAAAATGCGCGGACGGCGTACGGCGGACGACGGACGGACAAATTTTGTTTTATTCATAAAAAAAGACTTTTTCACTTCATAACCCCTCCGACTACAGAATTAACTTTATCTATCCTAAGGGAATGTATTTACACCTATGTATCTAATAAAACAGCTTGGTAGATTATTAGGAAAATTGACGGATATGAAAAATTCGTGTAATAATATGTGGTCTATAATTTCCCCGCCCTCACACTCCGGCCCGGGAAAATCCATTATAGCCTAAAAGGCGAGGTAGGGAAGAACAGAAAAAAAAAAATGTGGTCTATAATAATTGGTGTTCGGTGTAGTAGTACAAACAAACAAAGAACAAGCTAAAGATTTTTGAATTTTGACATAGCACTGTTGGCATACGATGGCCTTGATTTGAAAAGGTTCTAGCAGCATTTACTATAATTAGAGCCTCGAATATACAATTTATTGTAATATATATTTTGCTAGTTAGACTTACAGTATTGTCTGTGCAATACCTTAAAGATGTGAACTTAATTTTGCATCGCCCATGACTTAATCCTACCACATATTAATATAATGTTAAATATTGAAAAAATTGCAGTTATAACTTTGTCATTAAAAACTGAATTTTCGAGGTGAGAGAAGGTGGAGACACCAGCAGTCTATTTAAAAAAAATAGATTTGTTAAATTATTTTATCCTTTCTAAGTTAATTGAAATAAAGGTTATTTGTTCATTTCAGAAGTAATATTCTACTTTCAAATCATTGCTCACGTAGTTTTATAACTAAAGAAAAAATAAGAAAAATACAAAAATATTGTTTTAATAGAAACAACACCAGAGTAAAATATTAAAAAACAATTTCTGATCATCTAATGATATAGATATGCGTTAATATAAATTAATAAACCAACATAAATAATGTGAAATTTGTTTATTTACATTGTATATATGTATATATATATATACATATATATTTTTTTTTCCAAAGTTTTAGTTTAATATACTTTTTCGTGTTTTTAAAAATTATGAATATATCACATATATTTCTGAAATAACCTAATTAAATATACAATGCACAAATAACAGATATTTACCA